CTAACTATGTAGCCTGGTAACTAGGCTAACCTCCTCTGAACGGGTAGGCCAGCTCACTACAAAGCACAAGCTCGCCTCCAATTGACCGTCTAACCCAGGCTGACTTCCGACTTATTGTTGCCGAAACTGGCCTTCAGCTCACTATGTAGCCCAGGCTGGTCTTGAACTTGTGATATAACTCTGCAGTTTTAATTTGGATAGTGTTAACAGAGTGTCTTTTGGCGTGCATGCTACCCTCCCTGGTTCCCCTTTCTCCTACCAGACTGGAAATGTTCCTGGACTTGAGGCTAAATTATAGAAGTATTAATTTGCCAATCTGTTGGGTGAACACTGATTTTTCAGGATAGCTTAAAAAAAAAAGTCACAGTAATGAGATAAATTCCCATGAGATTAATCCATTTGAAGCGGTCCATCTCATGGTCTGGACAGAGCTGCTTGGCTCTGTTGACTGAGGGTCATGTTTTCAAGACCTACATTAAAAAATAAGAGATTTATTTACTTGTTTGTTTTATGCACATGGCTGTGCCAAGGCTTCTTGTCAAATAATATTTCATTGTGTGGCTATTCCCTGTGTTTGTCTGTGTGGGGGTGTGGGGCCCTGTGAGCATGCGTGGAGGCTGGAATTTGACATCTTGCTCAATAACTTGCCCATCTTACTCTCTGTGAAAGTGTCTCTCACTGAACCTGCACCTCACCGTCCCAGTTAGACTAGGACAGAAAGTCCCCAGGATCTGCCTGTCATCGCCTCCAGCGCTGGGGTGACCGGCACGTGCCGCCATGCCCAGCTTTATATAGTCCTGGACATCTGAACCAGGGGCCTCCTGCTTGCGTAGTAGGCCCTTTACGCATGGAGCCATCTCCCCAGCCTCCATACATAGCTATTATTAACAGATTAAAATGTTTTTGAGGGCTGGTGAAATGGCTCTGTAGGTAAAGATGCTTGCTATCAGGGCTGACAACCTGAGTGTGGCCCTGGAGCCCACATGGTAGAGAGAATGAACTTTTCCAAGTTGTCATTTGTCCTCCTTATGCAAACAGTAGCAGGAGTGACCTCCAAACACACACACACACACACACACACACACACACACACACACACACGCACCCACACACACTCACATACACACTAAATGTAGGCACTGGAGAGATGGCTCAGCCCTTATGAGCATTTGCTGCTCTTCTAGAGGACCTGGGTTCAATTCCCAGCATTCACACGATGGCTAACAACCATCTCTAACTCTAATTTCAGGAGATACAACACCCTCTTCTGCCCTCCTTGGGCACAGGGCATGCACATGATACATAGACATACATGCAAGACAGAATGCTCACATCAAATAAATAAATCTCAAAAAATGAAATGTAATGAAACAGTTTTTAAATTGACATCAAAATTGTATGTATTTATAGATAACGTGATTAATTGATTGGTTGATTTTGATTGATTTTCTGTGCTGAGATGGCCTCACTCCTGCTAGGCCATTGCTCTACCCTAAATCACAGCCTTAGCCCTTGTGTGTTTTATAAAGGTCAAACTGGAGTGAGCCTGTCTTCTCACACACTCTGTTTCTCTGTGCTCTTTCAGCTTTTTGAAATGTGCAGTGTATTGATACCTATTGGCGTCCAGCTGTTCAGTGACAGGCACATGGGGACCTCTCCGTCCTATTTAGCTAGAACACCCTGCACAGGGATCAGTCTTTCCTTATCCCCTTTTCTCTCTCCTCCTTGGCCTCTGGTAAACTATCCTAGCTTCTGGGATACCAACATTAAAAAGTAAGAGATTTTTGTTTTATGCCTATGGGTGTTTTTTTGTCCGCATGTTTATCTGCATACCAGAAGAAGGCAGTGGATCCCATAGAACTACAGTTATAGACTGTTGTGAGCCACTGTGTGGGTGCTGGGAATTAAACTGAGAACTTCTGGTAGAGCAGCCAGTGTTCTTAACTGCTGAGCCATTTCTCCAGCCCATGATGTCAACGTTTATTTTATTTTAAATATGTGTATATGTGTGTATGTACCTGTGAGTGCAGGTATCTGAGGTGACCAGAAGAGGGCGTCATTCACCTGGAGCTGGAGTGACAGGTTGTGAGCCACCACCCTACGGATGCTGGGAACTTGAATTCAGGTCCTCTGCAAGAGCAGCAAATACTCCCAACTGCTGAGCTGTCTCTTCAGCTCCTGATAGCAACCTTTTGAGACTCCACATGTGAGTGAGATCAGGTGGGACCCGTAATTTGATGCCTGGCATGCTTCACTTCTCACGTCATCCATGTTGGTTCAAATTACAGAGCTTCCTCCTTTCTTTATTCATTGGTTGGTAGACGTTTGAGCTGTTTCTTGGTTATTATGAATACCGCTGTGCTGACTGTGGAAGTTAGCATGTCCCTTTGATGTACTCATTTTATTTTATTTTGAGATGGGGGTGATGTGTGCTGTATTATTAGATCTTGAGAGAAAAACGACAGGGCGGGCAAGCTGAAGACCTCGGGTGCCAGGAGGAGGGAGATGGATAGGAGTAAGGGAAAATCATGGTTCCTGAATAGGAGGACAGGAATTCAGGTGGACTCTGTGATGGACATCTGCTGAGCAGCTGCATGGGGTGAGGGGTGATGGGAGGATGCCCAATAGTGCCTGAGTGCCAGGCCAAGGGGGATGGAAGAGGAGAGAGATAAGCTTAGACTTAGAGTGGAGGTCGGGTGGTGGGTGGGCACAGCCGTGAGCTCTAAGCCTGGTGTTCTTCCCTGGCTGAACCCAGCAGGTGTACGTTCTGCTCACACGTTCATTGGTTGGTGGGCCTCAGTGAACACTGCCCCGTGGGCTGTGGCGTGTGGCTCTTTGTGTGGCTGTAGCTTCACTTCTGCTAATGTAGCGGGGGTGGACCTCCTGAATGGCATGCTAAGTCTCTGCTGGACTTTTTAAAGGGAGGCCAGACTGTTTTTCCAAGTGGCTGCATGGCTTGATGCCTCACGGCAGTACGGGACGGTCCAAGTGCCCCATGGTCTCGACTGCCTCGTGCTGGCTGCCTTTCTGATGCAGATGCTCCGTGGGTGGGACGCAGCGTCTCCGGTGACTGACTTGCCTCTTCTCGTGGGTCCTGGTGATGAGCTTCTGTCCATGTCGGCTACATTTTTTTCTTGGGGAAAAAATGCCTGTTTGTGTTCTTTGCCCATCTTGAAATTGGATTGTGTTTCTTGTCCATTTGTAATGTTGCACTATATATATTATATTTAGGTTTTTTGAGACAGGGTTTCTCCGTGTAGCCCTGGCTGCCTGGGCTCACTTAGTAGACCAGGCTGGCCTCAAATTCACAGAGATCCCCCTGCCTCTGCCTCTCTGAGTGCTGGGATTATAGGCATGTGCCACCATATCCAGCAGGATTTTTTTTTTTAACTTTCGCTTGTGTGTGTGTGTGTGTGTGTGTGTGTGTGTGCGCGCGCGCGCATGTATGTGCATGTATGTGCATGTATGTGCATGAGTACCGGTTCCCCAGGTGAGAAGAGGTTGGCAGTGCCCTTGGGACTAGAGGCACCGGTTGGGAGCTGCCTGATACGGGAACTGAACCTTGGCCCTCAGCAGGGATAGCCATCTCTCCAGCCTTAGAAGGTTTTTTTTAACCCTTATTTTTGTATGTGTGTATGTGTCCCCAAATGTCATGGCACAGAGGACAGCTTTGGGGAGTTTTGCCTTCTGCCATGCGCATCCTGGCACTTGATCTTTAGACTTGACAGATCTGAGCCATCTTGGTGGTCCAGGCTTCCTTCCTTCCTTCCTTCCTTCCTTCCTTCCTTCCTTCCTTCCTTCCTTCCTTCCTTCCTTCCTTTCTTCCTTCCTTCCTTCCTTTCCTTCCCTTCTTTCTTTCTTTCTTTCTTTCTTTCTTTCTTTCTTTCTTTCTTTCTTTCTTTC